CAGTCCCTGTGTTTTGCTTAGCTTAGCTTGTTCTAAGTAGGTGCTTTAGACCACTGAGCCATCTCACCAGCCCCTTAGTTCCATTTTTTTTCCTCCTACCAGGAATGAAGCTCAGTGCCTTGCTCTTGTCAGGCAGGTACTTGTACCCCAATCCATGTGTGCAGCCAAAATATTGGTTGTTGAATTTCATGACTTTTCATACCATAGTCAAGCACTGCACCAACGAGATGAAGACCTGATTTGGGACTTAAATTTTTCTTTAGAGGCATTTTCAGGCTCAGTCAACCTTTTCTCTGCTGTCCTAATCTGTTGTTAAAGCCATCTAATAATATTTTGGCTTTTGATTTTACTGAAGCATCTGAAATTTTTCATTTTTAAACACCTCCTCCCTGCAAAATCTCTGCTTTGAATTATTGCTTACGTGCTTTATTTCCTCTAGCATAGTTGTCCTCACATTTTTCACCTACTTAGGACAGTGCCTTGGAGTGGGGCTGGGGAATTTGCTCAGTGGTAGAACACTTGCCTAGCAAGCTAGAAGCCCTGGGTTTGGTCATTCACAGCAAAAACAAAAATAAAATCTTCCTCTAGAATAGCTCCTTGGAAGTTTTTATCTCTGAAATCCAGTGTCAAGGGGACATTCAGAGTTATTCTGCTTATTCTTTTCATATTTTCCCCCTGGATTGGGTCATACATTCTTTTCTCCATTTTTTTTCCTCATCAATTTTAATTGTAAAATTAGATTTTGTTATTATTATTTTAGGGAAGGGTTCACAGGGTGTTCAGGGTCTCACTTCTAGATCGGACTCCGTAATGATCCACTTGTTTACAACCTCCCAAGAGCTGGGATTACAGGCGTGTGCCACCATGCCCAGGCTCAAATGCTCTTTCAGTATGCCCTGGGGGCAGGGCTGGCAAGGCAGGCTCAGGGATAGAACTCCCCACCCCTAAGCCTGCTAGTAGGCACTTTATTCTGTTGAGCTATTAGGCCAGCCCTAAAATTGGAATTTTTAATAATTATTCTTATTGCATTTGGGTAAGGAGGCCTTTCTAAATTCCAGCCCATTTCAAGCTGGCCGTGGCTCACCCGATGAGCTCTGTGCACCTCTGCTGCTGCTATGTGTGTACCTCTGGCATGTCCAGAAGTGTGTGCCACTTAATCCTAGCTTAGCGAGTCTGTCCAGCTCCTGTGATTCAGCAGCACCACAGCTGGATTTTAAGTCATCTGATCTAACACAGAGAGCACTAAAGAGGCTGGAATTCTTGTGTTAAAACTCAGAAGAAAAGTTCTTATTTCTGCAAAGCTAGTGTGGGGAGAGTTACCTTTCTTTAATGTGGAAAACATTAATTTCAAGAAATATGTAGAGATAATCCTCAACATAATTGTGAGTTGTAAAAGTTGGAAGTGACTATCTTTAGAACTTCCGATGACGGAACGTTTTTACCTCTAAACATAATTTGTTTGGTTCATGTTATGAACAGTATAAGTGTAGTATTACAAAGAGCAAAGCTCTCTACGTATATGTGGGCCCTGCACTTGCTTTATATTTTGCTGATAACTTTATAAGGAGGACAAAGTCAGAGGTGAAGATCCCCAAGTGCACTACCATATTTCTCTGCAAACAAATGTGTATCCACAATGATAAAATGAACAAATGAAGAAAAGCCATGATGGATATGGGTGGACCTGGGATGGGAGAGCCTGGAATTCAGGGTGAATATTATAAATTTAAGGGCAATGAATTGTGAGACAGAAGATGTCAGGCTTGGTATTGGATGTCACACATCCTACTTTTATTTTATGGCTTCTTCAGTGTTGAATATATTAAATTGGTAAAGTTAAGTAACAATAGAATTAGTAAACAGGTAAAGTGAGAAGTACTTATTAAGAACTTGTTTACTTATCCACTCAGCAAAAGCCATGTAGATGTTTTCTGGAAGTATTATTTGCTTATTGTTGATTATGTAAAGCCCATTCTTACTTAGAAAATAATAGCAGATCATTGTAGGCATCTGTAAAGTAAATGAAAGAACCCTGTATTCTTTCAGTCATCTCACGGGCAGCAATGGGATGGGAGGATCGAGTGTTACCCTGCTTTTTCTCTTTCACACCAGGAAAATCTCCATTCTAGCATATTAGGGCTTGTGAAAAATGACAAGACTTTGTCAGGGAAGCATGTCCACAGTTTGTTGACTCATGTTTGCTTCGTTCTCTCCAGGGTGTGAAGGACACCATAGAAAGGTACGTGTGTGATGCCAAAGATTGGAATGTTGTGTGTGAGAAGAGAGCATTGTGGACACTCCTTGTCACTGACCAGAGTTGAGTTACTTTCGTGCTACTGAGAATAGAGCAGTGGGACCCAAATGGTCTGGGAGGTGCTGGAGTTGTGCAGAGTCACGGCAGGAACAGTAGTGCTATTAAGGATACAGTGCTTGGCCTCTGCACATTATGTAGTGTAAACCTCCATGGAGCTCTAGGCTTTGGGTTCAATAGGCTTCATCATAGATGGAATGTATCCTTTTAAGCAAGCAGCAAGAATTATCCATTGCAATCAACCCTACATTCAACAATATATATTTTTCCACTAGAGAGAGTAGACATCACCCCTGAAATTGCACTTGAGTCTGTGAAACAAAACTGTGCCCCAAATGCAGGCAGTTGGTGCAGGTTAGCCACCCTGTTCAGAAGCACTGCGAAAGGCCTCATCCTTCTGTGTACAATTGCATGCTTGCTGGCAGCATGGAGCTTTTTCAAACTTCTGGAATTCAGAGCAGTATGATTTTAGTTTTCCTTTGCCAACTATTTTTCATTTTTCCCAGAGGGAAAATAAATCTTGAAACCTCAGGTAGTATCTGAGGACTTTTCTGTAGTCATGGAACCGTGGACTTCTCGTGCTCCTCCACGTGGGGTTCCTATGCTGATAAGCACAGACCCCTAAGAGCCGGATGCTGCAAATGCACTTACTGACCCGATTCTCAGGAGCCCACACTGATAGCAGGAACTCGTCTAAACATTATGACATTTGAATTTTAGGCAGGGAGGGGATTATTTTCACTTGCTTCTAAAAGGGCTGGGGAGATAGCTCCATGGTCTGCATGCCTGCCTGGCAAGTGCAAGGCCAGGGTTCCGCATGCAGTGGCAGGCCCACCACACTAGAGAGGCTGATACAAGGATCACTATGAGTCTGAGCTGCATGCACAGTGAGAATCTACAGCAAATATGTAAACTGAAATCCTTCACATGGAAAACTCCATTTCGGACTGATTAAGATCAGTCAAAGATCCCACCAAATGGTGGAGAAGGGAGATATTTAGTTATTGTATTTGGTTGTTACAGGGTCAAATCATGCAGCTCGGACTCGTGGTGATCCTACTGCTTTCAGCCTCCCCAGCACTAGAATTATAGACGGGTGCCACCATGCCCAGACTCAGGCGGGCTCAGCCTACCCTGGGGGCATGGTTGGCATGGCATGTGTTTTTGGGAATGAAACCTCAGTCCCCTGCGCTTGCCTAAGCTTGCCTAACCAGGTGCTTTAGTCTGCTGAGCTATCTCACTGGCCCACAAATCTGTTTCTTTTCATGTCAGTTTCAGAGGTTTGTCTTGTCCCTTTCCTGGGTCACCATGGCAGAGATTTTGTGTGTGAAAATAAGATGAAATGATAGATGTGACTGATGTTTGAAATACACAAATATGAGATCTGGAGTTCCCTTTTTCCTCCCTAGGTGTAAGTTATTAATTGTGAAGAAACCAAGAAGTAGCCCCAAGAAACAGAGGGTGGTGTTCCAAGCTCCTGATTTAAGAGAGTTTCTCCAATCTCATCAAGGTGAGTAGAGCGAAGAGGCTGTGATGATCCATCCCTGCCTGGAAACCTAGCTACTCACGAGGCCAGCACAGAGCGACTTCAAGTTCAAGTCAACACTGAGCAGATTAGCAAGTTAGGAAGACTCTGTCTCAAAGTCAAGTTTGAAAAGATTGGAAATGTACTCTGTGGAGAAGCACTTACCTAGCATACAGCAGGATAGGACTAAATCACTAATGCTGGTGAATTGTGAGCAGTGTGTAGTGAAGAAAGCTACATGAAGAGTGTGGCTAGGGGACTCTAGAGAAGGCAGGAGGCCATGGGGAAAGAGAGCTGTGTCCAGGGTGGATACAGGAGAGGTGGGAATATTAGTACCTGCTGGGGCTGTGATCATATTATAGGGGAGTGACCATTCATCCCTAGTCACCAATTTACTGGCCAGTGGCAGTTCCCTGCCTTCCCTAGACTGGAGAGGAAATGGATGTGGGTGTGACTCCTTCACCTACACTTATTATGATGATTTTTTGACTTTCAAAGCTAACGGATGTCCAATGCCATAGGGTTAAAAGGGAATTATAGTTTTATAAGCTTCCCTGTCCTCCATATATTTTATGCCTTATTTCTCACGTGTTGACATCCATAGTTTTTTCTTCCCCAACACTCGCACAGTGTGTTTCTGCACTGCTCTCCCTAAGACTCCTTTATATAGCTCTTCCCAGTCCTATTTTCATTAGATCTTCCTAGAATCTTCTTGGAATATCACACATGGTGTTTCATCATGTCCCTCACCCACCTTGCAATTTTTCCACAGCTTTTGTGAAACACTCTCCAAGCAATAATCAAAATATTACTGTTTCTGCAGATCCTGCACTGCTGCCTCACACGTCATATGGAAGCTTCCAGGACTTAAGATTTGGAAATTTATTGTCACAATCCTGGAGAAGGGCTACCGACACAATCTCTGATTGAACTACTTCAAAACATATTTTGCCTTCAGTGTTCTGAGTTATCAATCTTAATATGGCTACTGGGTCACAGGCTTGCAGGAGAAATTTAAGTATAATGCTAATGCAGTGTCTGACAGCTTTGATCTTTAGACCTTCACCATTTGGCTGTCTGTTCCTCCAACTCCTGTTGGAGATTTTGTACCCTCTGAGCCTCAAACTCTGCATTCCACAGTGTGACATATCAAGCATTTCTCATCTGTGAGTTCTCTCATTGTTGCTTTTCTGGTGAGAGTTTCTTATTTCTCAGTCTTGGGGACATTCAGAGTCTGTGCCAGTATGTGGCCATACCATTGGACTTTGTTCCATTCTCTCCCTCTTCCCTGCTCTTCACCTGGTGGGTATGTCTTGTCCCTCTGAAATACCTGCTGCATTTTATCTGATTTGCCTGCTTTCCTGACCTTCCATGTGGACGTCTTTACTCACTGTAGGCTGAACAAATTCTGTGATGCGATTTTCTTCCCCGCGGTTCGTCTGCTCCAGAGAGAATCTTAATTCAATGCCTCCCATACTCTCAAGGAAATGACTGATTCCTCTTAACAAAGACGACAGTGACTTATGTTTCTAGTCTTTACAGGCTCTACATCCAGTGAGAAAGATGAGGGAAAGTTTACACCCTACTTTGTGTGCACTGCATAGGTGTGTTCTCTTCTCAGCATGAGCACTTAGAGGTAGAGGAAGTCACTTCATAGATATATGGATGCAATTACACAGCACACTTCTTTTTTTTTTTTTTTTTTGGAAACCGGGGATTGAACTCAAGGCACTTGAGCTTGCCAGGGAAGCACTTATTCCACTGAGCCATCTCCCTGGCCCCCAACACAGCATACTTCTTTGAGGGGTTCTGAGGATCAAAGTCAGGACTTTCAGCTTGCCAGGGAGACTCTTAAGCCACGGAGCTATCTCTCCAGCCCTAGACACCATAGTTAAAAGTGAAATGAATCAGAATTGTGTGTGTAAAGATCATATTGTCTTTAGTGGAAGAAACTGAAAGAGTAAACAATGTCCAAAATGTACAGTAGGTATTATGAAATGGCGATAAACTGTTCAAAAGGAAAGAAAAACTGGGATGGGGGAAAGGTGAAAAGACAGAACAGAATAAAAAATACATACATGTTTATACACACACACATGATAGGGAAGCACCAGTGATCTGGCTCAGCAGCCACAGCCTGCCTGTGAAGTGCAAAGTCTTGAGTTCAATTATCTGAACTAAAAACCAAAACAAGATACCTAACTTAATTACACTTCTAATTTGTTAGTTCATAGAAAAGAATGGTTTCTTCTTATAATCTTTGATCCATTTTGCACATCTCTTGTAATTTGAGCAACTGATTTGAAAATATCAATATGCCATAGACGGACCATTAATTTGTAACTCTCTTGTTTTGAAATTCTATATCATTGTACTTACTGTTTTTCTCTCTGATCAAAAATAAAGAATATTATTTGCTTAGGTAATTTTCAGTAAGTGGACATGAAATGGGAAAGCAAGCCACACAGCAAGTATATATTGGAAGGAAAGAGACTTGCCTAGAAGGGTGAGGTGGAGAGGTTTTGGTCTTCCACCCAGGGTGACTGAGAAGGTCAATCCCTGATGTCCTTCCCTAGGGGAATAGGTGGGTGTAGCCCTTCCACATTGTCTCCAAGCCTGGCCTTCAGTGAATGTGTCTCTAGCCCCAGTTGCCTTGTGCATCAGTCAGTCTAGGTCACATCTCTGTCAACTGACTACAATATTTCTAAGTAGCCACAGTATTTACGGCAGTATCTGCCACCCAAAAACAAAATTCAGCTGATGGATCAGAAGCAACAGCAGGGTCTGGGGAAATAGCTCAGTAGAACAGGTGCTTGCCTGGTGAGCTCAGGGTCCTGAGTTCAATCTCCGGTACCGGAAAAAAAAAAAAAAAAAGCAAGAGCAACCCATGCAAGGAATTTCCTTAAGGGGCACCTCTCCTAGCTTTTAGTACTTGTAAGGTTAATATGAAATGTGGCGCTAAAAGTAAAATGATAATTTTTGAGATCCTTGGCAAAAAGGAGATGAAGGGGAAGGTCAAGAAATAGAGGACAAGGACAGAGGTTGGGAGCTGGGATAGGCAGCAAGATCAGTGCACTGATGGCAGTGTTCCTGGGGGGCACTAATTTGTGGAAGATGGCAGGAGTGGAAAGAGAATAAAAAACCAAAGCGTGTTATGCAAAGATACCAACTCTCCACAATGAATATATTTCTGATGTACTAAAAAAGTTTACTAATACAAAAATGTTCACAATGCTCCCTTGTACATTTAAGACATCTTAATAATTACAATTTTAAATAATCATTATCTGGGTAACAAAATACACCACTGCAGAACAAAAGATATTAACTGAGAATAATATCCCAGTGAAGTACTTTATCAAACATATTTCAAAGCTGCACTAATTAGATCACAGACGAAGGCATTAAGAGTAGGATGAGGGGCCGGGGAAAAGACTCAGGAGACTAAGTACTCCAGCAAGCACAAGGGCGAGTTAAAACACCGATTCCGCCAAAAAAAAAAAAAAAAGTAGGATGAAGCAAAGAAACCCAATAAGGGAGGGGCTGCTTCTTTGCCAAGTGCTCCTCTGGCGGCTCACATCCAGTCTTCCACAGGGTCGTCCCATTGGTCACAGCAGCTCTGCTTGTTCCAATCAGCCTGGCCCCACCTCCACAAACTCTTATCAGTTTCATTTCCTGTCAGGCTCCCTCAGTAAGTAAATCAGACCCTGGCTGCTGACTTGCTAACATCCTTCGCTGTGCTCGCGACTTCTCCACAGGTTTCCAAAGCCATGTTAAGCAATTCTTGGGCAGAGCTCCGAAGACTGTAGAAGAAAAGGCTGCATTTGCTTGGGTGCGTTTCTTCCGGGGTTTGAAGACTTTCTGGGGCAGGGGAAAGGCCCAGCTTGCTGCTTCCTGCTGCAGGCTGAGGCCCTGGAGGTGTGGGGTGTAAGCAGGAAGGGCACCCTCTCTCTCTCTCCTGAGGGCGGGCTTCTTGTGCAGCTGAGAGCCACTCTATGGCAGTCCCCTTCACTCCTTTGCGCCTGAACCTTTGATTTCACCTTGGCTAAGTGTGCAGGTCACTGACCTCCAGGGCACATAGCCCTGTGCCTGTGACAGTGTCAGAACCCAGGGCTCTTTTGTCTGCCCACTGACTGTCCGGAGCATTTGAGTGACCTGATGTGTTTGGGCTGACTCCACACAGACTGTTGGCTGGAGGTAGAATACTTCCATTGATGACTGCCAGCGAGAATTTCTGCTTGTTCTGAAGGAAGAGTCGTGTTTGCGTTTTTTGAAATTGAACACATTTTTGCTTCCCTATAGGTTTATGCAATATCCAAAACATAGCAGCTCTCATTAGAGTAGCTCTGCTGGCATTTTCAGAATCACTGAAGATACTTCGTGTATATGTTCTGTTTTGCTTTTTTTTTTTCAGAACTGGGGATTGCATTCAGGCCCTTGCTTGCCAGGCAAGCACTTATTCTACTAAGCTATCTCCCAGCCCTTAAAAGTTGAGAAGATTTTTTTTTTTTTTTTTTTGGCCTAGCTCAGGCTGCCTTAATGACAGATGTGGTGTGGCATGTGGAGCTGGGGATCGATCCGCGGTCCCACAAGCCTGCCAGGCAGGCGCTTAAACAACAGAGCCAACCTGCAAGCAGCCTACTTCATGTATATGAACAAGCTATTTATTGCGGTAATTTGTTCTAACACATTTGTCTCCTTTTTAACCTGTATTTGTTTCATATTTTTTTGGCTTCACTTAAAATATTGTATTTTTAGGTTCAAATTGTAGAATAACACCTTTTTTTCTGGCATTTAGTTTTGTAACTGCAGGTGCATTTCTCCAGGACTTGTCATATTTGATCTTTTTGATTACTTAATTGATATGATTATGAAGTTGAATCCAAGTTCGTCATCCTGTTTAAACCGTGCTTGGCCTCTGTTTGGCATCATGTTTGTTTTCATGTTTAGGGAGAGCTGCTAGGACATGATCTGTCATCACTAATTTGCCAGGTGATCATGTCTAATATTTGGGGACTTCACTAAACATGCAACATCTGAATTCTCTGTGATTATGATTTTGCACATCTCTGAAATAGGGGATCCTGAAAGCATGTTTACGTCACCTCCCTCCCCAGCACATACATCCGTACAGAGCTTTAGACTCCTTTCCATGTCCTTACACTGACACTAAGGAGAGACTTCTGAAGGAGGATTGAATGGGTTAATTCCAGCTGAAAGTCATGAAGTTATACAGTGTAATTCCGTGTAATTCTGGTGGGTGAAACAGAAGTAAGGACTATGCAAGAATTGTGGATCACAAAGTCACTTCTCTTCATGCTTCAGGCCGTAAACAGAACTGGATGAGAAACAACCCAAGATGGTCCACACTGAAGCTAACCACTGAGTGTAATTCTGTTCTTGTCCTGCTCACTTTGCAATCAGAGTCATGGAAAGAATCAAGGTCATGAACAAAGTTAGGATCATATTGTCTTTGGAATTCTTTTAGTGTAGTCTACTTGTACATGTAATATAAGGATTAAATTTTTATGGCTTATTGTTAAAAAGAACCAACTACATATGAATAAAGAGCTGTGAAATTGTGCAGTTGAGGAAGTTAGAGCAGCTGTCTGAGATGCTAACTTTAACTTGTACAGGAAGTGCAAGTACAGAAGCATATTGACAGCAAAGATAGTGTCATGCAGTATAAGGACTTTAGTGGTTTTAACACTGACCATGTAATTCTGGTGGGTGAAACAAAAGTAAGGACTATGCAAGAATTCTGGTAGAAGAGGACTCCATTTGATCTTGTGTCCAGTAAAGGAAGGGAAAATAAAAATCATTTTCTACATTAATTTTTTCCTATGATATGAAGTGAGGGTAAAGTGCCTAAAATTATTATGATATATTGAGTAAGAAATCAGTAAACTCATTTTTGTGTTTCACTCCTTTTCTGACTTTATTTTTTCAGTCTTGATGTCTATGTGATTTTTGCCTTGTCAGTATTCATCCATTCTATTCCTACCTTTCCTACTTTGCCCAACTTTTATTTTCCCACCTTCAGGATCAGAGTAGGCAAAGCCTTACTGTCTGAACAGACAGGAGCAGGGAAACAGCTTCTATGGCTTCAGAGGTCCTGGAGAATGTCAAGGAGGCGGTGACCTGCCCCATCTGCTTGGAGCTCATGAGAGAAGCCGTGAGCATCAACTGTGGCCACAGTTTCTGCAAACACTGCATCACCTCAAACTATGAGTCCACGGAACATGAAGGTGTGGGCCACTGCCCTGTGTGCCGAATAATGTACCAGTTTGAAAACCTGAGACCCAGTCGACACGTGGTCAACATAGTGGAGAGCCTTGGAAAGTTGCCACTGACCCCGAAGATAGATCTGTGCAGCCTCCATGGGGAGAAACTCCTGCTGTTTTGTAAGCAGGATGAGGATGTCATTTGCTGGCTTTGTGAGCGTTCTCAGAAGCACCGTGGTCACTGCACGCTTTTAATGGAGGACGCTGAACGGAAGTATCGGGTAAGAGATCAGAATTCTGGGAAGATAGACTAGGAAACAATGCCTGGTTGGAAACTTCTTGTGCACTATTAATTAATTTCCCACCATAGAAGTCAGCTATGTGATTTCTGTCTATTTTTGCCAATCTTCTCCAGCCCAACCTATGTTTTGTGTGCTCCAGTTAATTGTAGTAGAATAAGCTGTGAGTGACACTTCATAGAGAAAAAGAAAAATTCTTGTAAATTGTACTAGATGGGTAAAGACTTGGAGCCCAAGAGAAGCTCTGATTGCCTATTTGCACAAAAGAATAGATGAGATTATTTCACACACAAGTTCTTGCCTTGATGTAGACTCAGCTTTCAGTTATAGGTCAGAAGAATCAGTCTACAATTGGTGAAGGGCACTTGGCTTCCTGCTTAAGGAAGAATTACCTAGAGACATAAAGAGGACAGTCCTTTCCACTGGTGAATTTCTTATCAGCTTTTTCATGTTTTCAGGAAACTCAGGTTTCTGGTGAGACCAAGTAGACTTCAGCCACATTTATCCCCTCTCTGTGTTCTGAGGATCTCACAGGTTGAATTGCTGTGATTCATTTCTCACAGAGAACACTTCAAGAAATGCTAGAGAAGCTGACTCAGGATGAAAAAGAGTTTAAGAAGTGGGAAGCTCACATTGAAGAAGAAAGAACTTCCTGGAAGGTAGGAGATCGCACTTCCTCAGGGTGTTAGCCAGAATCTGGCGGGTCCTGGGGCAGGGGTCCCTTCTTCTTTATTCATTGGCCCTAGCAGAGTCCTGAAGTCATTTATGAGTCCTGTGTGTGCTTTTCCTCTGGAGTGCAGTCTGTGGAGTGATTGTCACTCATCAGATGGCGCTGGGAGGGAAGTGTTTGCCCTGGGCGCTGCAGGGAAGGTGGCTAGGAAATGTGCTCCTTGGCTGTGCTAGCTTTTGGGAGGGACTCTACTGAGACTGACACTTGACAGTGGGTCTGCATTCTGTGTTTTGTTTTCCAATTTTGGCAGGGAGGGCACAAGTGGAACAAGGAGTAAAGCAGGGAGGTGGGTGGGGGTCCTGATCAGCTGGCAGCTCTGTGTCATTGGGGTCAGGGTGAGCCTTGAGAATGTTGCCTGAGTGTCACAGGTTTTAAGGGCAGGAACATTCTGCTTCCTCTGAGTTGCTCCTGTCCACCTCCCTTCCCCTGAGCACCTCCCTGTGAGAAGAGGGATTTTTCTGGCTGGGAAGCTCACGTGCCTCTCTATTTCTCATTCCTGAAGAAACAAATACAGGAGGAGATGCAAAATGTCCAGGATGAATTTACAAAAATGAGAAACATCCTGGACTCTGAGGAGAAAGAGCACCTGCAAAAACTGAAGCAAGAGGAAGAAAATGCTCTCAAGGTCCTGGCCGAGTCTGAAAAGCAGCTGGCCCGGGACGCCCAGTCCGTGAGGGAGCTCATCTCAGATGTGCAGCGTCGGCTGCAGGCATCAGCCATGGCCATGTTGCAGGTAAGACTCGCAGGGAGTTCCCGCTTATGCGGTTCAGGGGACATGGAAAGTGTTTCCTTCTCTTCTGGGATGTCATGCTTTCTAGTGAGGGTCCTAAAATTCTTTGTCTAATTTGTACCTCAGATAAGTACATCATTTTCAAAGACTTTGGGGAGAATTTCAGGTATGTACAAAAAGGGAGGGTCTCATTTCAATTCTTATGCAGTGCAATGCACAAATGGAAGGTGGGCGGGGAGATCCATGGTATCCCATGATGCTCTGGAATTGCCTGTTTTCTGGGATCTCACAAAGCATTTCCCTAGTAGCTTTTCATGATTCTGGGCAGTCGTGGAAAACAAAGGAAGCTCAGATTAGAGCAGGTGTTCTGTTTTCCTGTGTGGCATCAAATAAGAATTTTCCATTTCATTTTCTGAAAAATAATGATGACAGATTACTATTTTTTTAAAATATACAATAGCAAAAAAATAAAAATAAAAACAAAATAAATAAAAGTTAAAAAAAGGGGCCAGAGAGATGGCTTAGTATGGGCCTGAGTTAAATCCCTGGTTCTGAAAAAAAAAAAAAAAAAATCAGTGACAGATAAGTGAAGCCATGTCACTTTTTTCATTTCTGTTCTTCTGCTGCTGTACCAATAGAAATATTTTATTTTCTTACATGTCTGTGCTTCATTTAGACAATCTATTCTTGAATTGTTGGTGAGACATGTCTGTGTTGGAGTTTGTTCATTTTGTGTAAATAATTGAACTTGTAGGCATAATCCTTGTTCTTGAATATAGCCACCATGTTGTGCACTGAATTTCTTTCTTTCTTTTCTTTTTTTTTTTTTTTTTGGTGGAACCAGAGATTGATCTCAGGCCCTTGCGCTTGCCAGCGAAGCGCTTATTCCACTGAGCCATCTCCCCAGCCCACTGAGTTTCTTTAAGATAATAATTCCTTACAAAGTTTTTATTTCTGTTACTGTTAATTTTTTTAATTGTCAAATAGAAATAGTCTGTTTATCATATGTGGCATTTTTAGTTGAAACATATACCTTTGTGGAGTGTCTAAATGGAGCCAATAAATGTATTCCTTAAATACTTTTGTAGTGGTGACAGGAAAGTCTATTCTTTTTTATTTTAAAGAGAATAGAAAAATAACAAATGGGACATTGGAACCCATTAGCAATTAAAACACATGCATAGCTCAGCAGATTAAAGTGCTTGCAAGCATGCGCAGGGGCCAGGTGTTCAATCCCCAGGCCTGCTGTGCCAGCCCCGCCCCTGGGGTGCACTGAGACAGCAATTAAGACTGCGTGTGGTGATGCCTACTTCTAATCCCAGCTCTTGGGAGACTGTAAACAGGTGGATCACTAGAGTCCAATCTACTAGTGAGACCCTGAACACCCTGTGAACCCTTCCCTAAAATACAAAAAATAAATAAATACATGATGAGTATTCAATAGGGTTGTTATTTTCCACATTGTTGTCTCAGTGTAGTTGCTCACATTAGATATAGGCATGTGAAATTAGTTAAAGTAAAAATTGTAAGCATTTACTGCTACTTTCATAAAACTAATAGAAATTAGTGGTATAATCATCTTAGGTACCCTGGGTATATACATATATGACATTTTTCTTAGCCCTTTTTTATCTTTACCTTTCTCTCATCCTAATTGTTCTTTTCTTTTTTTGGGTGGAACGAGGGATTGAACTCAGGCCCTTGTGCTTGCCAGGGGAGCGCTTATTCTACTGGGCCATCTCCCCATCCCATTCATTCCTTTTGAGAAGTTTAACTTTAACTATATCTGTTGTACCTTTTAGATTTTATTTTATTTTTGTGGTACCAGGGATTGAACTCAGGACCCTGTGCTTTCCAGGGTGTACCTTTCTGATTTTATTTACTCTTTCAGGTTCTTCTCTTTTTTTTTTTTTGTTCTAGGCAGAACCAGGGATTGAACTCAGGCCCTTGTGCTTGCCAGGGAAGCACTTATTCTACTGGGCCATCTCACTGGCCCCTCAGGTTCTTATAGTAGGGAAACAATAGTATGTTTACCCATGTGGCTCTGATTTATTTCACTTATGAGTATCCCTCCCCTAGTTGCACCCATTTACCTATGAAAACTTCAAGTTTTTCTTTATAGGTGAGTAATACTTCATATAAAAATAACACATCTTTTTTATCCATTCCTTAATTGAGGGGAATTAAGGTTATTTCCAAGATTTAGCTATGCCAAACTGTGCTTTTGTAATCATAGGTGCACATGCATCATTGTGGTATGATGTTTTTAATTCTTCTGGAAAAATACCCAGAATGGGAATACCTGTGTGAATGGGACCTTCACTCCTAGTTTTCTGAGGAATCGCCACACTGTTTTCCACAAATGTTTTACCAATCTACATTCCCACCAACAGTGGAGAAGGGTTCCTTTTTCCCCACAGTCTCTCCAGGATTGTCACTAGTTGATTTCTTTATGATAGCCACTCTTCCTGGGGTGAGATGGAATCACAGTGCTGTTTTGATTAGCATTTCTTGAATCACTAATGCTGTTGAACTTTTTTTTAACATTTATTTACCAACATAATTTATTCCTTAGGAAATTTTTTTTTTTTGGAACCAGGGATTGAACTCAGGTCCTTTCGCTTGCCAGGCAAGTGCTTATTCCACTGAGCTATCTCCCCAGCCCCAGGAAATTTTTAAGACTATAAAACAGTTCCTGAGTATAGCCACCATGTTGTGCACTGAATTTCTTTTAAGATAATCTTTTATCCTACCTTCCATTTTGTATCTTTTGACAAATATCTGCCCATCTCAGACCCACTACACTCCTTACATTCTGCTTCTACCTACGTGAGATCACCATTTGGTCAATCCACATATTATATTACTGAATTAATATTTATATTACTGAATTTCTGGGCCTGGCTCATTTCTTTTGTCATAAAATCCTTCACACTCATCCATGTTTCCGCAAATGACATGATTTTATTCCTTATTTCTTTTCTATGTCAAAGAGTTTAACGCTGTGTATATATCACCTTACCTTTATCTACTTATAGATTGATAGGTGCTTAGATTGAGTCCATATCTTGGATATTTCGAATAATGCTTCAGTAAGTATCAGGGGAGTGTCCATCAGACTGAGCATAGCTATTCCTGTCCTTTGGACAAATTGCTGGTGTTTAGATTGCTACATTATGTGCTACTTATATATTTTTAATTTCTTGAGGACCTTCCACAAGGTTTACCACAATGACTAAACTAAATCACATGCCCACTGTAGTGTAAGAGGCTCCTGTTCTCCACAACTTTGCCATCCCTTGCTGTTGGCTTTAATGTCAGCAGTCCATCTGACAGTAGTGAGGGGCTATCTCACTATAGTTTTAATTTATGTGTTTTGGATAATTAATGATTTTGAGCATTTTTCATATAGGTAGAATCCATTTGTATGTCTTTATGAAAATGTCTATTCAGGGTGTCTTGTCCATTTTATAAATTAAAACAGTTGTTTTGCTGATTTTCAGTTAAATGACTCATTTATGTGTTTGGATTTCAATTCTTCTTCACACACATGGCTTGCAAATATGTTCTGCTATTCAATAGCCTGTCTGCTCTTTTTTTTTTTGTTAGCTATTTTATTTATGGGGCAAGAGCTTTGTAGTTTGCTATAATCCTGCTTTTCTACTTTTGACTGTTTTTACACTACACTGGATTTTATGCCCAAAAATCTTCGCCAAGGCATTGTCATGGTGTTTTTTCCTATGTTTCCTTCTGGTAATTTTTTCATTTTCATTTGTTATATTTTTCTTTTTTTATAT